ATCATTTTTACAATTGCTGTCACTATGTTTTTCTTGTCTGAGTGTAATAATCAATTATTAAAGAAGTAACAGTAATAATTTTATATCAAAAATCGTCAAATCAATTCGATTTTAAAAAAGAGAAATTCTGATATAATCCATGTAATATGTATCGAATGAGATTTCACTCTTCAGAGCAACCTTTCTAAAATTTTTAGAAATGTTGCTCTGAAGAGTGAAATCTCATTCTTAAATATTGAAAATTGAGCGAGTGGATCAATTTTCACTCCTTAAAATGAGATTCCACTCCAAAGAATTTGAAGAGTAATCTTAGGAAACCTGGAAAGAATATGAAACATATCGTGATGATGAAATTATAAGGTTAACTATTTTTTATTTTATTTATTTACATTTACACGTTTATCGTTTATCAATTTAAGATATGAGTAAACGATGGCGAATGAATGAAAAATGAAACTTTGCTCGTACTTACACTTCATTCACCGGTCGTGATACATTATGCGGTCGTGCTATCGCGAACGTCGACCTCAACGATATTACAATACATAGGGCGTTCTGAAACCGGATGTTCTTTTAACCACAGGAGAGGGGTTACCAATTACACTGTATATCCAACGACATGCGATCGAGCACTTTGTTTTGTGGAACAAAGGAAAATTCGTCGGCCTAGATGCCGGCAGATCGATACACAGGTTTACCTGGTGAAGCACCTTATTGATTCGCAAAAGGCAGCATGGCATTTGACTTTCGAACTATGCCATCGGCATTTGCAGGAGTGTCCGCTACTCGCTCTCGCCTATGGCCGAACGTTGTTGTATAATCTTGCCTGCAGCTAAATATCGTCGCATCATCAATAGTTTACTCGCAAATCGTCTCGTATTAACGCTTCACCAACAATACACGTTATGTAAGACGCGATCTTCAGACGTTTTGAAAGTGAGACGGCTTTAATTATCAATTCTAACAAACAAAAATTATAAAATAATTTAACCACTGTCATCAATTCGTATCTGCAATCATCTGAACGTTGGATACGTCTTGTTTATATTCACTTTTCTGTGTGGATTTCTTTGTGATTATAATGCAACTTGTAAGTTTTTTTTATGCGAAGTAACATGAGATACATTGTCAATAAGATTTCTGCTAGTCAAACAGATATTGGAAATGAAAATCATCCTATAAATTTTCACAATCGCAGAAATTAATTTTCCAACGAGAAAGAAGGGAAATGAACGCGAAAGCGATGAGAAACCACTGTCTCATAGAAAGTTACAAGTGAACCACTTTCGCAGGAGAGATTATCTTCTCAAGTTATATCAAGTTATCAGAGCGATCTTTTTCCCTGAGCCACGCGAAAAATTTCGCGCGAATTACGCAGGTTTGATTTAATTACAGTTCGAGATAAATCCGTTACTTGTTGTTCAATCCACTTCAATTCTCGTAATTACAAGTCTTATGCGATTTAATTCAGTTCTCTTACTTGCAAATTAAATTTAATTAATAACGAATTAGATTCAGTTGTTTCTTCAATCACAAACTAAATTCAATAAATCTTAATTCTTTTATCGAATTAAATTTTTTATTGTAAATATAATTTTATTTGTTCAATTGAATTTAATACGAGATTTAATTCAATTAGATATCGCTTGTTATGCTAACATAGTGAAACATTCTCTTATGGTCAAGGATCATGTAACTAAAATAAAATAGACGAGCACTGTCACGCTCGAAGTCACAGCCTGATTCCTCCTAATATTTTCACTTCGATCAATCTTTTTTTCTCAATCAATTTTTTTTCTTCTCTTCCTGTCTATTTCCATCGATCGTCGATTTTTCATGCCGCGACTTCGATCGCAAGATCGCTCGGTGTTTTTGTTCAAATGATTTTATTAATCAGTCTGAATAGATACACACACTCGTGTCACTTCGCTATTTTTTTTTTCTCTTATCCCTCTTTCTTTCCTCGATCATTATTGTCCGTTCTGCTCGTAACGCAGTCGGCTGAAAACAACAAGGTTGTAGAAGGATAG